GGGGGGGAGGTAGAAGAATTGCTTTCAATTTTCTTTCAATATTTTGTCCATCACTTTTCCTTCAGATCTGGTGTGGCAAGACGAGGGACGAAGAAGCTTTGCGTAAAAGCAGGATCTCGGTGCACAGTCCTGGGTCGATCCGTGTCCTTGGACCACTGTCCAACTCAAGGGAGTTTTCTGCAGCTTACAGCTGCCCACTTGGGTCTAGAATGAACCCAGAGCATAAGTGCTCTGTTTGGTGATTGGTCGTCTGATGTACCAACATTTTGTTACAATTTCTGTGATTGGTCCATTGTGCTCATTTCTACAGCTAACTGTGTCAAGAGCTGTGGAAGTTCACTGTGCTGTACAAGCTCTGTTCCCTCTCTGTCAGAGACGTTTGGTCAGAGGCGATCAGTTACCTTGAGGTGACAGTAATCTTATTGTGGATGCCTGTGATGAGAATATTATTTTGCTAGATATGATACAACATAAAGATATATTATTCACATACATATAAAATACGGTATATTTGATACGTACTCATCACCGAGTCTGTGACGAGACAAATAGATCTAGTAAACTTTTTATTTAGAAAAACGCTGTCATGTTTACAAATGGAAACAAAATCCTGGGTGTTTTACAATGCATTAGAGGAATCCAGAGTAAAGCAAAAAGATGTCTGTTTTGTCTTAAACAGTACAAGAACAGAGGGGAAAAGAACCTATTGGATGACTTGGTTTTTCGTGTGCCAGAAAACATTAATGAATCTTAAAAGTAAAAAATGTGAGCTAAGAAACCAAAGAGCTCATCGTGAACTTAATCACATTGTTATTCTTTGAGGCCAAGGGAAACTTTGAGAAGAGTGTGACCAGCTTCAAGAGCATCAAGCAGACCGGCCAAAGCTTCTCATGAAATGGTACTGATATCACAGTTCCATTCAAACAAGCTTGAAAATACTGAAGTTCACAACTTCGCACAGTTTGCAGCTCCAGAAAGGTACATTCCTTCATGAATAAGCCCAGGAGGAGAGGTGTTATGAGATTAATGGCTTGGAGTGACAGAAGTCTGAGTAGTTATTAAAACAAAGAGATTTCGTGTTAGTAACACGCTTCTTTACTCTGTAAAAAACATTGGAAACTGTCCGCAGGTGTATGGACATTGGAGACCTTTCCCTCCTGCTGACAAGACACTTGCAGAAATGATAGTGTGGCAGATGACATTGTTTACTCCCTGTGTGGTTTTGATGTTATGTAGTGTACATTCACAGAATCACATCATTACTTGTGTCATTTTTCTCTTAAAGATGAAATCATAGCCTAAGTTGTATTGACCTCCGTGGTTTTGTGCATCCGAATGATTATGTTATTCACTTTCTGACCTGAGCATGACGCGCCATGCTGTGATTGACAAGATGGGGTAGGGTATCCTGTGTGATTTGTCAACATACGTACTCAAGATTGATTTTTTTAAAAACGGTTCTAGCAAATGTTTTAAATGAGTAAAATGAGAGTGAGCAGAGGACACAATTAAAGTGACATTCTTCAATCCATGTGATTGGTGAGTTAAATGAATATTTTTTCTCTGTGCCAAGTAGGCCTACTGAAATCAAATATAAAAATGTTCTGTTTGACGCTTCTCCATGCTGCTTTACTACTACCGTTCTATTGCTAATAGAATAGTACAGAAAATGTGAAAATGTTTTTTCTAAATATGACTACTTCACAAAAAGGTTGAAAGAAGGTTTTAAAAAATAACTAAAAGAAAATAGAATTGACTTTCCTCTCATGATGTAGATTACTCAGCCTCAAATATTCTCTTTAATAATATGTTATAAATCCAGCCAACATTAAGTTCGAGTCGATGAATAATTATGTTGCCGCACTTTGAAAGTACTCCACACTTTTTTAAAAAATGAGTAGCGTTGTCAATACTGATGGGGGTGAATCCCAAGACGATACATGATACTGTCTTTGAACATTTTAGTGAAAATTTTTATCTCATTTCATAGCATCTTTCAACTTTATTTTGAAAGACTGCAAGTTGTGGAAGATAAAATATGCATGGCGGTTTTGTAATAAATAGTGTTTGTATTTTCACACTCATTGGCCTGTCCTTTGTGCGTCGTTCAAAGATCGTATATTTTAAATGATGATACACTTCCCTAAATGAATAAGAAGCAAAACATCCTGAATAGCTCTAGTGCAGTGAAGTCTATACTCAGACTAAGCCAGTCCTCTTCTATGCTCTGATGATCTCGCCTAGGTGCTCATTGGAGGATCGGTTCCTTTCGATTCGGTTCGGGTCAGTTTAGTTTAATACGGGGTGCCCACTACGGATGGGATCGGCCGATCTGCCGACTCGGTCGCTTCAAACATAAACGTGTTTGTTTTCAGTTTCAGGCGACCGAGTCGGCCCGATTCAGCCGAAGTTGGCACCCCGTATTAATGCGGCTTCGGTGCACGCCTCAAACGGCTTTGTATTTCAATGTCATCGTCGGTTTCCTTTGGTTTGTGCCACGATGGTACCTTTTGTCTCTACATGGAGAAAAATCTGGCTGGCCCCGACGACCAAACCGAACTGAACCCAGTCGAACCAAACCTGTCCTGCCAAAAAAAAAGAAAAACTTCTGTTCCAGAAAAAAAAGATGTCATCAACACTGGCTATGAGATCTTTATAATTACGTGTATAATCTTTGTGAATTGTGGTTATTTAAAGGAGTGACAGATAATTATCTTGTGTGTCCCATCGTTACCTCTGTATTCCCAGAGAGCATGTATGATATGGAGAAATGGCCACTTGTTAATATTGTGTACCCTTGTTGTCATGCTTTACATGGTGTTTTAGTTTACAGGAGGCTCAATAATCATTTACCAATGGCGTTATTTTTACTTTTGTGTATGTATTATAATAATAAATACTTGTCTTGCTGTATTTTTCTTTGTAATATAACTCATACGTACAAGTTTGGTCAAAGTGTGTTTTATATTGCTTTGGTGCAAATAGTTGTTTGATTTTATTTTAATCTGCTTTTTTCGTGTCTTGGAAACACGTTGGTCGGCAGAACAGAAGATTTTTCAGTTTCTTGCTCTCTACACTTTCTGATGATCTATTTGTAGGGGGATTCTCGTTATTCTTGTTTCTATTGTGCTTGACATCTCAGGGCATGAGATTGATAGTGTCAGGTTGTGTCATGATCTGGCCCCGGAAGAAATGTGGTGCGATGCGGTAGAATCAGGCGCTCGTCATTCAGGGGCACAGGGAGGTATTGGTATGATCTTAAAGCCTGTTCGTTTGAATTACTAATGGTGAAAAAATACATCTATATAGAATACAAGAAGTTGAAATATTTGCAATTGAAGGAGATGGTGGTCGCCTAGCGGTCGTAGGGTAAATTAATGAGGCTTGGCTACCATTGACCTTTGGTGATTTTCAAAGTTGTAGTGTTGTAGTGTCTTTGGAAACTTCATATTTACATCTGTGCGCCTTTGGTAAACGTTTTTCAGTAAAATAATACTGAAATGTATTGGTTTTAATTAACATAAACAGTGTTGAGAAAAAAAGCAAAGAAAATATCTATAAAAAGTGTCCAACAGGTGGAAAATATTGACTTTTTCCGATTACACTATTTTGACGAGCGCCTGATTTCACAACGATGCCACACAAATGTGTTCGATGTGACTTTTCTCAAGTTGAAAGTTGTGCTTTATTGTTGTCAATTGATATAAAACAAATTCTGAGGACTATTTCTTCTCAAACAACATTCTGAAATCGAACTGCGTTATAATGCTTGGATATAATCTTTTGATTTGAAAAAGTGGTGTTGCCTGCAAAAAAATCGGGATACTCAACAAGGTTTTATAATATTTTTTTTCTTATTGGTTCAACTTCTCTGCAGGTCATTTTGTTTGACTTCAAAACTTTACCAGGAACAGATTGAGCGAAATTGTCTGAAATAACCATTTATTTTGCCATAGGAAATGGCTTTTCAGTATCTCGTTTATCACTTTTTTATCAAATATTCTTTTATCAAATCAGTGAAGCTCTGGGCCTTGATTCTTGTTATATTATAATGTTTGATCCCATTACATACTTATGTCTGCCTGGTTTATGAATTGTAAATTATAACTGTAACGTTTCATTTATACATTGGTTGGTCGTTCTTTTAAAATGTAATATATATATCTATTTTATGTGATACTTTAATTATTGTTCAAGGTTGTAACAAAAACATGGACTCACAAATTCTGAAGAACAAGGGTAGTAATACTGAACGTGTAAAATACAAATGTTTCAATGTTTTAATTTTTCAGTCATCAATAATCTACTCCACTGTGTGAGGTTGTATCGCTCTTGTTCCTCTGTCCAGGACTGTTGTTTCACTGTCTGTGACATAATAGCTATGGACTAGGTCGCCCCAAAGCTTAGCTCTGGGTCTTTACTTTATCTTAAAAGGTGAGCTTCTTGGTTCTTGGCAACATGGACCCTCGTGGCATCTTGGTAGTTATTATATTTTTTCCTTTTTTATTTTTTCCTTAGAAAATAGTTTTAACATCCCTTGCAACGCTGTCAATTCGTTTAAGAAGTGGAACAATCGAACTAGATCTATTATGTCCCTCTCCGGTAGTAGTACCCGGCCAAATGGAAACATTCGTGTAAAGTGCCTTTCTCAAGGACACAATGCTGGACCAAGGCAGCCTCGAAGCCCCGAACCCACTGTCTCACAATAACGAATCCAGTACGCTCACCACTCGGTTACCAATGTGAAAGCATTCACGCAGTTCTGAATGTAGGATAGTCACGCGTTGATTCTGTATCGTTAAAAGACCAACGACTAATACACATAAAGTAGAGTAAAGTAACCATGTCTGTAAAAATAAAATGTGGGGTGGATGGCCTTGTGGTTAGACTCTCAGACTCGCAACCGGAAGGTCGTGGATTTGAATACGTCAAAGGCCCGATGTTGTGTCCTTGAGAAAGGCACTTTACACGAATTTCCCTCACTTCATCCAGGTGATGTAGGAATGGGTACCTGGCTATAAATAGCGAAAGATTTGTTCAGTTTGTTTTTAGTTTGGCCCGTGTAATCCGCTGCTTGCACTGTATGCTTTCCGTGAAGCCGATGTTTCTGAGTGTAAGTCTTGGTGGTCTAGGATCTGCTGGGGTAATAATAGTTGTAAAGCGTATTGAGCATGCTGTAGGCGAGAGCGTGGATATGCGCCATACAATGCAATTCTGATCATAAAACCAACCTAGAAGTATCTCACTATATATACAATTCTTTTTTTCTTTAGAATCTGGATTGTTTTTTAATGTTGCTTACTATTTTTAGTACTATCAGACAGGGTCACCTCTACCCCTACTCTACTGTTCAAACCCATTCATTTTCTCGACTAGAATTATTCATGAATCAGCAAACAGTAAGGTGCGCTTTTATTTGAAACTTAGTAAGACGTAAGGTATACTATAGAAGGGATTTTTTCAGCTTCAAATAAGTTTTGTGTGTATTTATGTATCCATTTTAAAGATTTGAATCTTTTCCGTCTCAACTTGGAAAAGTGCATAATAGATCAAGTTTATTGCGTGCGTGCATGTACATAATTACATGTATTATATTATGCGTTTTATACGGGAGGTGAAAGTAACTCCATTCAACTGAATGTCTATACAAGTAAATGTTATATAATATGTTTTAAATGGTGATCTGTGAAAGAATAATGTTTTGTAAGATAATATGAAGTACTTGTTACTATTGTTTAAATAATCTCTTTGTGATTGTAAGAATAAATCATTTACATTTTTATACATACAGTACAGTAAAGCTTTGCGTGTGACATAGTTTTGTACAGGGAACATTTCCCCATATTGCATATTCGTGCGCCATGTATTGGCAGGTTTTTTTAGGCCACAGTGACATTTTTCTCACTTATATTTTGTTTCTTCATCTGTACATTTGGACAATTTAGATTTGTTTAGGATGGCATGAGTTTTGTTTTATCTGTATGGGTATTTTTCTTTTCTTTTTACTGTCTTAAAAAAATGGATGTACAGTTTATAATATGTGTCCCTTAATACCTCACTATTATCTCAAATCTTTAAAAGTATTAACATTTTTACATGTATTCAGATATCTCTGCTCGGCTGCTTTCTTAACACTTCTCCGGTGTGTTGTATTTGTATATTGCTAGCGCGTTCCAGCACTTTGCTCACCAACAGTCGGTCCAATTATCTTATGTTACTGGAATTACAGTAGTAGTACGCACGTCTCGTCTTTGTGCACAAGAGCAAGTCTTGGCGGTCATTGACCAGATATTTAAAGGTGCAACGTATGCAGACACCAGAGCTGCAGAGGGTGCATACAGTTTAGCACGCTTATAGCGAAACCGGCGGGACTTAAAAATCTTTTTCGTTATGTACGTTACGAATTTTGCTATACATCCATCATGTGCGTGTTTTAATGCAAAGAATATGCCTGTATAAAAACAAAAATAGGGACCTCAAATACTCCTCACTTTGTGCGTGTTTTGCTATGTGTGTGCTAAACTATATAGGCCTACTTAAAATACGGTCGCTTTTAAGCACAAGGGGGCTATCCGAAAAAAATGCTGTTTTTAGAAAATCGAAGATAAAGTTTTTGCCCCTTGTTAAATTTCTTTAAAAGATAAGGAGATTTTTCTCTATAACCAAACAAATATACACACCAATGAAATCAAACTTCTTCTATATAGGTAAGGAAATGCCCACTTTTGCCACTTTTGGTGTAGGTCAAGATTTCTGGAAACCCCTAAGATCTGGGTTAGCCCGCTTATCCTTAAAAGCGACAATATAGCCCCGACACCGCCTGTTTGAGGCGGTAAAAGTTCTTACGCTTCACGTGGAAGATGTGTTAAGATTTGGGAGGAGCGACTGTTTCTTCTGAATGACATTTACAGAAAAACTTTGTTTCCTTACTCCTCATTTTGGTTCCAAGGAGATGGATACTCTAATCAAGGGTCCCAATAGTTGTGAGCACCGTAAAACTCTTACCGAACTTAGAGGTCCCGTCATTTACATTACTAACAAGTGTGAAAAACATACCATAATATCGTTACAGTACTCTCCATTTGATCTGAGATGCTAAAAAGTACTTTTATGTCTGGTACCGTAGTAGTAGTGACAATGCCTCTAACTAATACTATAATAATATATTTACACAAATTACCGTACTTAATTAATTACCATTTTAATTGGCTTTTTTTCCCTTTTATTTTCATTTTTTTCTCCAATGATAAAAGGATCTTAAGATTTTTTTTAATTGGGTTTTTTTTTTAATTCCTTGTAGTAGATTAGATACCTGTTACACACGCAAGTTTTTGCACCTATTACATTTCTTGTGTTTTGAATAATGTGCAGTCCTTATGTTTGGGTTTGCTGTAATACAACATAGGCCTACGTGCTATGTATATGTAACCAGGGCAGAGAGGAAGTCTGCTGTTTGGTCTTTTTCTTACAGACTTCTCTTGGTTTACTTGTCTAATCAAACACCTGCTTCTCTCTTTGTCTCTCTCTCTCTCTCTCTCTCTCTCTCTCTCTCTCTCTCTCTCTCTCTCTCTCTCTCTCTCTGTCTCTCCCCTCCCACACACATATGCACACACTACTACTACTACTACTACTACTACTACTACTTTCAGCTGCTGCTGCTGCTGCTGCTGCTGCTGCTGCTACTGCTACTGCTACTACTACTACTACTACATACACCTCACCAGTATATCCCTCCCCTCTCTCTCCCTCTCTCTCTCTCTCTCTCTCTCTCTCTCTCTCTCTCTCTCTCTCTCTCTCTCTCTCTCTCTCTCTCTCTCTCTCTCTCTCTCTCTCTCTCTCTCTCTCTCATTCACTAATCAAAATGTTTCTCAGACTTAATCAATCATGTTCATACCATAGACATAGACCAAAGACTTGGTATTACAACAATGCACTTTGTCTGTTTGAATGACCAAGTGTCATGGGGTCCCATACACATCTGACCCGCCGTTTGGACATTTGTGAAATTACAACCCAAACAAATTCCCCTTCTGTACCACAGGACAGAAAATACAAGTACAAGATCAGAGTAGCTCCAAAGAATTTTGTCTTGCCGAGAGAAAGACACAGCATGGCACGCTAGAAGAAGTAAATGTACCGTCAAAATTGGTCGAGGCGGCCCACCTTTGTCGGGGAGAAAGTAGTTCAGTAGTTGTCTCAAACTGTTAGACGTCTTGGACTGTGAAATTGAAATATTTTTGAACACAAGGGAAGAAGTAGGAAGTGGCCATTTGTAAAGGTGATTGTCTTGAATAGGTGGCCGTTAGAGCAGGGTTCAACTGTACGCATGATTGATGCAGAAACAGAAATTGTTCTGTTTAAGAAACTAGAACAACATTTCTTAAATAACGGTGATTTATACATGTTGCGTATTCATCTACTGTTTGAGAAAAGCCAATCCTCAGTTAATGTTATTGTCTGAACACGTGTTTACATTTCTTTCCTTGTATTTCCTTTTCAGTGTAGTGAGGTTTGCACAGTGTACATAAGGCCTTGGTAAAAATAAAACTGCATTGCATAGGTGGTTTTTGTGTTTCTACCCTACGATTTGAAAATGGAGTAAAAGTTAAACAACACAAAGTATAATTTATCAAAAGACAAGACCATATAGTACACGGAGGAAACATTTGTATTTATTTCCCTTGTTCAGACAGCATCTTAGTAGTAAAGAACAAGTAAACTGGCTGCTCTTTCAGGGATATTAGTAACTTACCTACTATTATCTACTGTGACAATAACAAAGTTGGAATTCCAAGGCACAGTGATTCATACACTTTGTACTTTATAGGACATTTATAACTAACATCCCTGAAACATTGATTACAAATGTTTCATATTACATTTTCATTTACTATGATTTTTTAAAATACTTTGAATTCTGTACCAATCAATAAAATTATTTTATGTTTCTATTTCTTTTTGGTGTGGTTCTTTTATATTACGGTGTTGGATACAAAGAGGTCGACCCCCAGGATTTTTTTTTTTTTAAAGAAGGGGGGGAGTATTGATTTTGTCTTTATTCTTCTATTGTTAATTAACTTGCAGAGGAGTTATAAAACTCTGTTCTATTTTTCCCACCTTCTTTGCAATATAGGCCTATTTAGCAGGTACAAATAGAGGTAACATTATATAGGAAAATCATTTCAAGTGCTATCCACTGCCCGACCTTCAAAAAGCTACAAGTTTTGTTCGCCCACCTAAAATTATTAACATGTATTTCCATGAAATCATCATGATCATCATGGTCGACATGATCATCGACATCATCATCATCATCATCATCATCATCATCAGCAGCAGCAGCAGCAGCAGCAGTCTCGCCATCATCTACATCATCATAAAAAGGGCAATAACTTGGTCCTCTTCTGATCAATGTCAACAAAACTTGGAACAAATTTAACCAGGGGGACGTCAAATTTGTCAGTAAGAAAGAAAACCAATCTACTTGTTTGAGAAATAGCATAAAGTTTTACACATTTCAAACAAAACTGAGTGAAGTTCAAAACCTTGAAGCTTCTTAAAATTCAACCATAATGAGGATTTGTCCATTGAAGAACAATAAATGTAGGCCTATATTATTATGAAATTGACATTTCCAAATAAATTCAGGAAAAATGGTAGCTGTTCGAATTGTGTGCTTCAATAGTTAAGCATTTCTTTCCAAACAAGCTCAAATACACAGCTGGAAATATTTGATAAACTGCCGCATGTTTCTGAGCCAATTCTTTGGACTACCTGTTTAACCTTGTGTTTCAGTTGCTTGATTGTTTGTGGATTGTTTCCGTAGACACTGTCTGAAAAGAAAAAAAAATGCAAGTGGCTATGTTCACCAGCGTTGAGCCGGTCAATAGATCGATGGCTATTCTCCGGCATCACGTATAGTTGCACATGTCGCTTCTCCACAGCTTTCCATCTCCCCTGTCAGCACGTTATGATGGCCATTATTTTTGCAACTGAGTTCAGTGCCAGATGCGCCTTCTTGTACATCTGGTTGTGACTGAGGGTTTTTGGCGCTTCTGGTGCTTTCACCTCTGACACAGAAACTCCTCCTTCTTCCATTGATGAAACTTTCATTGAGTAGTGGCTGCGTGTCTACCTATGCAAATCGCATTTGGAAAAAATGCCGACCCTCACGCGTGTTTGTGTAGTGTAAAGCCACAACGTACCGACAGGGGAGGTGGAAAGCTGAGGAGGGAGCTATACGTGACGCCGGAAAATAGCCACTGATCTATTGACCGGAGCGACGCCAGAGATTAGCTACTTGCAACAACAAAAAATGTATGTCATGTATAAAAAAAAATAGTGACGTCCAAAAGAAACTTGCAAATCTAATCACTAAATCATGGTGTTGAAGCATTGCACTATCTACTCATGCATCATACCAATTTAAAGCTAAATAAATTCTGCATCATCTACTAACAGATTAATAATTCATCTATGTTGAGTAACGCCCGAGATATGGTTACTCAAAACTGACCTTAAGAAATCAGGCTTGGCAAAATTGTGGGAAATGAAAGAAACGTAAAACTGCCTTCGCGTGTGTATTGGGGAGCATCAATATCGATAGAATGGACATACATAAAAACATTGCTTATCCAATAAAGGATAGTTTTGTATTGCAATAAACAATGTTCTATTTTGATATTGTGTCACGATAGTTTCAAACAAAGCGGAAAACAGAGCAATCACAAATACCGCGTAAAACTTGGACTTAACATTAAAAGTTAAAAGTGGTCATTATTATTTTGTTTAGGAGCCATTGGCTTTGTGTAGTGCACGAACCTTTTGGAGACCGACTCTATTAAATTTTGGACACAATAATTATCTGTCATTTCATCCCAAATGTCCCAGAAATTTGCAAACAAAGTTACAAAGGGTCTGAATAGGGAACAAAGTCGCGTTTCTCCAACTGCTGTTTCATGGTACATTGTGCTTCACTCTTCACTTACCTGTAGGGTTCATACGGAGGCTATTTACTGGTGACCACTCCAATGTTTATTATTTGATTTGGTTTTCCAAGAATAGGCAATGGCCCGGTAAGAAAGTTCTTTGTTATGCGTGGAGATGTCTACTTAAATAACACCATGACAAAAATAAGGGTACGACATGACGTTCTAGTTTTTGTGCTATGTATGTAGTCCACTAAACCAAACCATCCGGTGATTTTCATGAGGGCAGTTTTGTTCATTCCACCCCGACCGCACAACAACAATGTCAGTTTCGTGGCCACTATTCTTCATTGACAACAGATGATTAAAGATTATGTCCAAAATCTAACAAACACAGTCCGTGTGCCAAAAAAAAATAAAAATAAAATAAAAACATTTCGTGAGAACTATTGCCTCCTAAACAAAAACAAAAACAGAACAAATGAGCACATGTTATGATAATTAATTCCTGGTTTTTTGTGGTATATTTGTAACTGCTATGTTTTCCAATCTGTTTGAAAATATCATCAGAAGATGCTGTTCATTGCAGAGACAATAATAATATTCTCTTTTCATTTGATATAATTTTACAATGATATTCAATACTTTTCCATTCCATCAATGTTGATGCACTTCATTGTACTTACTAGTAATAATAGTACCCGTTCTACGAACGAAATAATAAGGAAGAATTATTAGGAAAGTTAAGAAGAGGAAAAAGACTGAAAACAGGAAAGAAACAAAACGCAAATATTTTACCTTGAATTTATCCGTGTAGCACCCCCTCTTGACTACCTCTAGGGGTAAGACTTCTTCTCCCTCTTCGAAGGCGTGGCATTTTCTCCTAAAATTCCAGCTCAATCACTTTTTAAAAAAAGAGGTGGGCCTACATATGCCAATTGTTGCTTCCTAGAAGAGCCTAATCTAGATTCTAGATCTTGTCTGGATCTCGAAAGATTATAAAGACGTAGACCAATAATTGAAAGAAGGAGCCTTGGCCCATAGATAGATCTAAGTTTAGAAATTCACATTTTTAACAACCGACAGGCGTCACAGAGGGCCTAGATTTCTAGATCTATTCACAGTAAGAAAAAAAAAACTTTCAAGAATACTTTCATGATTTTTGATCTCGATCTAGATTCACCTACACCCTAGTTCTAGACTCAAGATCTATTCACAGCAGGAAAAAAATCCACGTCCAATACTTTCATAATTCTTGATCTCCATCTAAGATTCACATAGATCTAGCCTAGATCTAGATCTTAGAATCTATAATGCGCAGCAAGAAAAATGCACTTTCAATATTCAATAGGTTATTGAAATATCACAGATCTAGATTCTACTTTCATTTCGTGATTCTTTTATTGATCTCGATTTATCTCGATACATTAAGTAGGCCTATGGTAGGCTAGACTACTCTTTGCGCTTTCGACGACACCCTCCCTGTCACTCTCACCACCCTCCCTCTATTAGTGCTTTCTGGCCTCCTCTATCTCTTCCTCTCTCTCTCTCTCTCCCTCTCTCTTTCTCTCTCTCTCTCTCTCTCTCTCTCTCCCCCAAGGTAAGATAACAAACGAAAAAGTCACCACTTTGTAACATGTATTACTACTTCAAACTACTTGATTCTTCTTCTCCTTCTTTTTCTTCTTGTGCTCCCCCTCCTCCTCCTCCTCTTATTCCTCCTGCTCCTCTTCCTTCTTGTTCTTGTTGTTGTTCTTGTTCTTCCTCCTCCTCCTCCTCCTCCTCCCCCTCTTTCTTCTTCTTCTTCTTCTTCTTCTTCTTCTTCTTCTTCTTCTTCTTCTTCTTCTCCTCCTCCTCCTCCTCCTCATTCTTCTTCTTCTTCTTCTTCTTCTTCTTCACCTACACCTCTTCCCCCTCCTCCTAAAGACGTGAGACCGAAACCAGGAATTCCCGTAAACCTACTTAATGCACAACTGAACACAAAATAGGCCTACCCTTTGGCACAGTCTGCACTCCACAGTGAATATACAATGTCGAATCAAATGATGGCGATCGTTACAAAAGGACTGAATTTAATTTAAACTGGGCTTTCTTCTTACACATTTATCTTAATGAAAATACAATAGTGCAACACTACGTTTCAAGTTATGGGTACAGACAAAGTTTCATATTTTTTCATTTCGTAGTTTTTGAGAATATACTGTTCGCAAAATTTGGCCTTAGCTCCATTAGTAGTAAGATACGCTCGAACACACTTTTTTGCATTTCTCTGATTTCGCACAATTTTGCCAAGCCAGATTTTTTAAGGTCAGTTTTGAGTGACAATATCTCGGGCGTTTCTTAACCTGAGGGTTGTCCTTCGTTGTCGAAGATGACGATGAAATCCTGCAGCTCATCCGTGGACGCCCATGTGGCTGTGCAATCCGATCCTGGATATACAAAATAGGCCTACAACGTCTGTTGCAGTGGGGACACTGCAATGTCGAGGTTGGGTGGTTGGATTATGTCTCCTCTCTCTTCTGATAGTCAGTTTCCCCCTGTAGTTGATATCGCTGTTTCAAGTGTTTCTGCTGGCAAGACAGACGGCCCTTTCGGTGGCAGTTCTTTCGAGTTCTTTGGGGGTAACCTGTGCAAACTAGGATGATGAAGATGGCTAAGAGCAATAGAACGAACCTGTACGTGACTTTGTTTAAAGTGAAGCTGTCGTTGCACTACGGCAGTCCCACTCTCTCGGCCTAGGAAGCCTTTACCCAGTGGCACGGAGACTGTTACGTCTGTAAACTGCAGTGCGTGGCCAGAACTTCTTTGGTGCCTTGTCTATGCCCTTATGCGCTCCACAGCACTTGCTGGTACCGCCTTCAAAACCGTAGGGTCTTCTGTTGATCTCATCCGCTGGGAAACCAGCCTTCACAAGCTAGGGTAGGCAAACCCGGTCAAAGACCCGTCGGCTACCCTCACAAGGTCTAGCCTGCCAGTCGAAGCAGTTGCCCGTGGTATGGTCGCTGTCGCATACTAACAGCTACGGGGAGCCACAAGTGAGAGTTGTGTGTCCAGTGGGAACCAAAGCGTGAAAGCCACCCGGAGGTGCGACTGCCCCCCCCCCCCCTCCCCGGTCAGAAGTATTATACTACTTCCTGGTACACGCCATATACCACTTCTTAACAAAGATAAACTATTATTACTATTAATGTGTCAGATGATGCAGAATTTATTCAGATTTAAATTGTTATGCAGCATGAGCCGGTAGTGCAAGTCTATAACACGATGATTGGGTGATTACATGTTCAAGTTTATATATATATATATTGTTTGAGGGTTTCAAGTTGTCGTGATGTTGTGGCCATTAATTGAAGGCTTTCGTCCCAAAACCTTTCTTGCAACCATGCAAGGGCAACACTTGATGTGTGGGATGTAGCCCCACCGTGCTGGAACAACGCCTCTTTGACAGCCTATCCCCCCCCCTATTTCCCTGCTCACTTCTAACAAACTTTCTAAGCACAGTAGGAATTCTGAGATTTTATTCAAAGCGGACCGATCACGCTCCTGAAGCTGAGCGTTTTTAAGAAGTAAAGTTTTGCGTTTTACTCAGTTTTGGTAGCCCTTTTAAAAGCTTGATATTTCTCTGACAAGCAGATTGATTAACTCCATATTAATTAAACAGTTTGATGCCCCCTCGGTTGAATTTTATTTTATTTGAAGTTTTGAAATCAGTACAAGAGGAAAGATAACCGAGTAACTGCCTTGTAAATGGGTTCTCTTTTTTTGCACAGCCTGTAACAATAATACTAATAATAAAGATAATACTATTAATAACTAATATTAATAATAACAGGCAATAATAATCATAATAATAATAGTTTTGTTTATCCGTCAATGTCTGATCAATGCATCAGTGGACGAGTAATATAGGGTTAAAGATGAATTTTAGCTTCTGCTATGGCCATTGAGACCAATTCTGGTGGAGAAGTAACTGCCCCATTTTGAGCATTATGTTTTTATTATAAGTTTCATCTTTATAACTATAGAAGTATAAGTAAATGGCACAGCTTCAGAGCTCCTCTCTTAGTCTTAGCTTCAGTATTTCAAACTCGTGACGCCTCATATTCATAATAATGACTTGCTGCCCTCTATTTAAAAAATTTTTAAATTAAATTATCAGCATTAGGCATTCAGTGGGTCTGTAATTTAGTTTCAACCCAGCGACAGTGTTAGTAAGAAAGAGGCTGAGACAAGGATCGGTTGGTAGGACACCAGCTGTAAACTCTTTACCAACAACGCTTACAAAAAGTTTACATGATTTCAGAATAAGTGAACGGTACATCTTAATCTGTGGTAATACAGATGGTACGTTGTAAGTTGTATGGAGCCTAAAGTAGGTGTTGTTAGTGCTTTCCTTCCTTAGCCATTCATTTTTTGTACTGTTTACCAAGTATAAAGAAGAGTTTGCAACACAATCCAGTCAAAACAAAAATGCCGAAGGTAAAAGGTGTTACCAGAAAGTACAATACAAAGCAAAGAAGGAGATATAATGTCAAAAGCTGCTTGACAGAAATGGCGGAGCAAACCACACCAGAACACTTGTCTTGCTTTAAAACTCGGCACTACATGACCTTCAATGTGTCTCTAGATCTCAAACAACTTGTTGTTATCTTTGAAATTGAAAGTGTACATTTTTAACAACCTTTGCAACACTGAAAGATTATTTCAGAGACAGGATCTCCGAATTAAACACCTACCTCCTATAGGACCAAGCCAGATGTAAAAATTCCCGAAAAGTGTCTTTCTCAAGGACACAACATCAAACAGAGAAGAGTCGGGGAACCTCCAAGTAAAAGTATGCAATCTCGTGATTACAAGTCTGGTAGCTAACCACTAGACTACTACTGACTCTGACTCCATGTTGTGATCAAAGGATGAGCTTCTGATTTCAAGCATGTTTAGTACAATATATATCAGTTTTCAATGTTGATCCATTTAAAGCAAATGTTCAAAACAGTAACAGAGATCAGGATTAGCTAACATTCTTATCAACAAACTCCTTCATAAGCTTGCATACAGAAAAAAAGAACAAATCAAAATGACAGATTAAAAATTTATTTTCAAAATGTTGCTGCATCCATAACGCATTCATAATTCTCAATCACCACACCTTCCCATTGTTTAAAAAAATATTGTTTGAAGCATAAATAATTGAATCTTAACAATTGCATGCAACTTTCATAAAATACAAACTCTTCAAGACCAAATTAAGAGACAAAAAAGAAAAAAACATAATATTGAGAGAGTGCTGTAGGCCCACAGCAGGGTGCCGCATGTTGAATGCTTCTAGTTTTTGTAAGAGTTTCATGACACTTGCAACAAAACACAAATAGGTCATATTAATGCCTAAGATTAGAGGTGTTACTAGAGAGCAACATACAAAGAAATGAAGGAAGAGAGATAAAGAGATAAAAATTTGATAAATAAGAAGGAACAGATCATCCAAGAGTGACCGCCAATCACCCAAAAGCTGCACACAAAATGGACAGTTTTGCCAAGTTTTTCTCTCCAGTCTCTTTGATTACAACTCACAGGGATCACACATGTTTAGATAAGCCTTGTTTCTTTCATTATGTCCTTACTGCCAGTTGAGACACAAAACAGTTCACCCCTTCATTTGCTCAAGGACTCACTCTCCCTTCTCTCTGTCATGCCACAAAGCTCAGACCAAACATCCAGGAGACAAAATAACAGAATAAGCTTTTACCTCTTTGGAACTGTTGCTACCTTTTGAATGACAGTCAAGATCACAATTATGCACATATCAAAACAGCAGGTGCCTTGAAGAAAAAAAAATTGAACTGTGTATAATCACATCAAATAGTGTGTATCATAAAATACTTTCACCAAAACAAATCTTGAATACCAATACTCGTATTGATTAAATTACTGTAAAGGACAAAATCTGACTAGGTGTAACAAAACATTTTAAAAGGGCGCACACTAATCTAAAATGTCTTTGCTTAACACAAAATACATATTGTTGCTGTCACAAAAAAAAAAATGAGATGTTTTTCTCACTCTGTAAAGTAGTCATTTTTCTAGTAATAGCAACAAAAAAAGTTGGTTTAAAACAAAAATTACAAATCAAAAGAAAAAGTAAAACACAATTAAATCTTTTCCTCAGAAGTTCCTGCATATAACCGAGGCAACATATCAATTCAACCCACATGAAAAAAAAGAAAAAGTAGGGCAGAAGCCGCAATTCATATTTGAGAATGTACAGTCAAGAGGAGCTACTCATACTAAGTGATTTTAAAGCTGACTGTTATATCACTAAAAGTTAAAGAATATAATGTATTTCCTGGTGAACATTTTCTTCGGAGCACATAAAATACCAAAATATTAATTGACTTATTTTAATGTATATATGGCAATATAGTCACAGTTAGTCCAATCAGTCAGTACAGTACATTTCCCTTCTTGTCTCTTTCCTTTTCCTTTTATTCCCTTCATGTAAAACAAACCATCCTTGCCTCAGTCCACTCAAAACACTGGAGAAAATTCTCTATGATGATGTGGTGAACAAGGGTTCAGCCTCCATTGCTACGCTCTCCATCCCGCACTCATCATTTCCACGCCGGATCCAGAAATACCCGTCCAGACCCCAGGTGGTCCCCCAGCTGTTCTGAACAATCCAGTATTTCTCTCCAGTCTCCTTGACGGTACCCCAGCCCACAACCAGAACAGCATGATTTGTCAGCTCAAAGGGGGAGAATCGGTCGAGATCAGAGAAGGTGTGGTGGTAGACACCTGACTTGTATGAAAAGAAATCACCGTAGACTTCGAAGCCGATGGCCACTGGTCCTCTTTTGTACACAGCCTCCATCATTGAAGGCTCGTTGCAGCTGGAGAAATACAAACGTCAGCATGCCCATCATTTTAAGCAGAGTATCTAATATTTCGTTACAGTCAAAGCATAAATGCCTAAGACATTTTTTTTTGCTGTTTTGAGAAAGCTTAGAGAAGAAAAAAGAGGGCTTAACTGGGTCAGCTTTATGAAAGAGAAGATGTCTCAATTGGGTTTTTAGTACACATGTTTTAAAAACATGCTGTACTGAGAATATAAAAGAAGTAACTGGTATTCTCATGAAACCAGTAACTTTGGAAAAGGTCGACCACGAAAAACATGCATTGAGGGAGTAAAGAGAACCTAGAGAAATGATAAGATCTCAACTGAAAGAGCTGCCGAGTTGGCCTACCACAGAAAACTGCATTTCCCCTCGAAGTTCAATGGGAATAGAGTATGAAAAAGTTAATAAAACAAAAGTAAGTGATAACTAGAAACCCGATTTAAAAAATGACATAGTGAATTGTGTTATCAATTTGACGAATTTTAACACACATACATGTCATTCAGTACATAGATGCCAATCCTTTATAAAAGGGTGACCTTATTTAGGCCCTATGTGGCCCAAATTAGCAAATTAGCACTTCTCTTACAGGGGCTACATGTAGCCCAAATAAGTCCTACCACCAAAAGAAAAGAAAATAGGAAGAAAGCAGTATCTAGTAAGTCCTCATTTCCAGCAAGCTGCTGTCAAAAGTGTTGAAACCGCTGATGTGGTGAGCCACTGGTAGAGGCTTGGGCACATTCCTTTACGACTACATCAACGTTCAACAAATTTTCAATAATTGCAAAAAGCAGGACTCTTTTAAAGGGAGGTTCTTTCATTATTTGAAAAGCTATAAAAAAATAAGTTCATTTGTTCAAATTTGATGACCAATTTAGTGATGTATATGTCACTTTCCCTAAACTTAGGTTTTGTCCCAAAAAAGGGCCTAATGCAAAAACCTCTTCTGGACATAAAAAGTTAAAGAACATTAATTTCACCAAAAGAAAGACTTGCAGGAGGAAAATTGGGACCAATTAAAAACAATTTGTGAAACAAAAAGAGTCTTTCACCACAACGTTGTAAAAATCTGCATATCCAAAAAGCAGTCCATCATTATGCATGTCGTGAACTCTACTTGTTGCCATCGAGGGAGAGTAGCGAGGTGAACATCATCATTTCTGCAAACGGATTTAGCTTTTCATTTTCATCCTGACTTCATCACACACAGAGTAAACAATATTCCAGATTGCTACTGTTCAGGTTGTGGGTCATGAATATGAGCATGATCAGAGTACTTGAAACTATCCATAAATGTTGTACTTTCTTTGCCAGTTATTATTCTTGCTTCCAGTGATATTTCAGTTTGCTCCTTAGCTCCTTGGATGTAAGTGTGAGGACTTGTAGGTGAGTTCGCGTGAAGACGGTTAGAAAAGTTCCATAAGTACTATAGAGGTGGTATCGATAATATAAGCATTTCTCATACTGGAGGTTCCTTGAATGAACGAAATGCTGACATCCACGGCATAATATTTTAAAAATGATATGAACATGCGCAAATGGTGATCCCAACACTTGCAGAGACATGCCAGCAGAAGTAAAACACACTATGACAGCAAGAAGAGATGACAGAGAGAAAGAGAGAAAGAAGGAGATGAAACTGAGACAAACAAAAAGAATTTCAAAATCAAAAGCAGACAAAATTACATCATGAACATCAAAGATGTTACATGACATAACAAAGTGGACAATTTATGTCCTACCTCATTACCAAGTACACACATCACACACTTCCAACTAAATAAAAGGTGATGCAATATTCATATGACCTGATGCTGTTGCAAACAACATAAAACTCTTACCAAAAACATTTGTATGACAGAAATTTGTATCTGGGTATGTTTCCTCAAAACTTTTATATTTAATCTTTCAGTTTTCAGTGCTAAGTTCATTAATTTCTAAACCAAGTACAGCACTCAGCATGCTTCATGCCATGTGATCTAAGACAAAGTCGACAGAATAGGAAATGACTCTGCAGCCAGACTTTCGAAAGAGCATTCGTCGTTCCCTCGTTCTATCCAGAAATATCCATCTAATCCCCAGCCATCTCCCCAGCTGTTCTTGACAATCCAGTATTTCTGACCCGTGGTCTTCACCGTTCCCCAGCCAACAGCCACGACTACATGGTTTGTTATCTCAAACGGGTTGAACCCGACATTTGCAGTCAGCGAGGGATTGTGATGGTAGACTCCAGACTTGTATGAAACCAGATCGCGGTAGACTTCAAAGTTTATGGCAATCGGTCCATTCTGATGGATGGCCTGCATCATCAAAGCTTCGTTACAGCTGAAATATGGAGAACACATTGACTCCTTTTACCAAGCACAAGTTGTTAAGAAATTAGTAACGCCTGCAGCAGATCAAAGAAAAAACGCCAAAATTTTGAAATTCCTAAAAAAAATCAGGTACGAAAGTTGATTCTATTGTTCTACATCATCACCTTCATATAATCATCATCATTATAAAGCGCCAGACCTGAACCGACATCAGCGATCATGTATCTCCATTCATTTCTTTTCTCCGAGACTTTAAAGAAATACTTACATTATCCTGGTCATCCCCTATCCGCTCAGGTTTTCCATGCAAGCTGCTCTGGGTCTATAGCTGGCTCATTTGTCTTCTATTTTTCCAGTGAGAGCAAGATGTTCAACACCTTTATGTTTATCCAAGGGACCTAGAAACATTTGTCTCTTTCTTATTGTTTTCATTAATGACCAGCACCCGTGGGCTAAAATCTCAGAGGTCCCCTAAGTCACTTCTGTTGCTTCTGTTTTACTTTTACTATCTGTGATAATGGTCCATCGTTCAAAGGCATGTGTAATATGAAAATAGGAGAGAGAGAGAGAGAGAGAGAGAGAGAGAGAGAGAGAGAGAGAGAGAGAGAGAGAGAGAGAGAAGACTTCAGTTTTGTTCAAAGTTTTGTTGAAATTGGGGCAAAGATGGTGGAGCTATTGAACTTCAGATAATCATCTTTCTTCTAGACACCCGGAAGAAGAGAAGGGACCACGGCTTCTCGAGGAAATATAGCCATTCCTAGCAGAAGTGGATAAAAAAAAAGGGTCAAAACCCTAAATGCGCATAATCTAACATAGGGGACAGTACTCATGCATAATTTAAAGAAAATTATCCAACTTTGTTTATCTCCCTTGATATTGCCTGGAATGGGGGGGTGATGAGAGCGTCCCGACAACTTTGGATAGGAATTTAAACTCCATTATACTGCCAATGTACCATATATGACACTAAAACACACTGTAGAAAATGTTGCTGAAGAGCATTTCATGAGATAACATGAAATTTTAGATCTATTCTTCCATCTGGGTCGAAAACTTAATTCTTTTTTTTTTTTCCAAGACAGACAGTATTGTTTTCTTTAAAAACTAATTATCACTTCACCGTGGGCCACTTTCATTATTAATTACTGGGTCAACAAGTGGGTTGGGCTGAACTTACCATAATAAGTGTATATCAGGGACAAGTAATAAATTACTAATCAGAAAACATAACATCTCTCTCTCTCTCTACCACTAATTTAAAAATGTAAAGAATATCTGCTTCCGTTCATCACAAAGAACAAAAGCATCAGGTATTCAGAAACAAGTTTAACCATGACTGCTCCCAAACAAGTTCTCGTTCCCTTGGAAGACACCTTAAACATAATTGATTTATTATCAACCATCACTGCCAATTTTCTAAGGTATATCAGCAATCTCAGACACTAATTCTGAGGGACTTCTTCAAATGGAAAGGGGATTTTACTTCAGTATCAGCACTCATTATAAAATAAAGCATCTCAACTTTTTCTCATTTCTTACTCTTGATCTTTGCCGGTAAATACTGTAGTGTATTTTATTTTTGTTCAGAGTTTCTCTTGTTCCATTCTGTTCCATCGGAAATTTGGCTGTTATTGATCGGATCATGATAACATAAAATACCCAATAAGATGATTATTACAAGTATTCTTCATTTATTCAGAACTCAGAAAGACTGGAGAATAAAACTAATGTTTGGTTGCTTTTAAGGACAAGCGGGCTAACCCTGATTTCGAGGGTTTCCAGAAATTTTAACCTTAACCAAAAGTGGGCATTGCCCTACCTATAGGGGAAGTTTGGTTTCAATGGTGAGCATATTTGTTTGGTTATAGAGAAAACTCTCCTTGTCTTTTATAGAAACTGAACAGGGGGCAAAAACTTTACTTTCGATTTTCTCAAAACAGCATTTTTCGGGATAGCCCCCTTGCGCTTAACAGTGATCATTTTTTAAATCTGGTTTTGGGAGAAGTATGCAGTTTTAGAAGAGGACCATCAATAGCCAAAGATTTGATTTATGATATCCAAAACTGTGTATTCCGATGTGGTTCTGCTTCCCCATGGAACACACCATTTGGCTATCATTTGAAACCAAATAAACGTCAAAGAGGGAAACTTGTGTGCATGCTCCACTATATATAGAGACCAGTGTTCTGCACTTCATTTCTACACCCATGGCACACACTCATGCAGCAAAGTCTTTTCAGAGAGCAAAGAGAGGCACCCATGACAAAGCCTAGTCTAGGATAGAAAACATTAGGATTCAAGTCTTTGAACGTCAATACCTAAGGGAAGCCAAGCAATCAGCTTACCCGCCATAGTATCCTCCAATATATCTGTAGCCAGTGAAGTAATGACGAGGACACTTAGGGTCGGTCTGGCACTTTCCATTCTTTCCCGTGTAGGGGTTGCACTTCTCTAGGACCAGACCAAAGTCCTCAGCATACTTGCCACCAATCAGGTAAGGGAAACCACCCGCGCAGCCTTGCAGAGGGAAGAATGATTCGTACATTATCTTCTTTACTACAAGACTTGAGTATATATCTACTACTTAGTGTAAAACTCTACCATTCGCCATTTCGAAAAGTGGCGTATGATGGAGTTTTACACTGGGTAGTCCACATGTCATTTCTTCTAAAAAAGCAAATGCAAAAGACTCAATATAAATGGATGTACACATATAAAATGTAGCTTCTTCACTACATGCACTGAGGTCGAAAAGGATAACAATGGTAAATCCTAGTCTGATAAGTGATAACACCTTTCGTGCAACAGTAGTATCTATACCAGGCATGAGCAAGCATCTAGTCAAGGACAAGGATATAGTAATTTTGAATATTCCATGGGCCCGAGCAGGAGATAATTTGGTGAAATCAGTTTAAAAACCTAGGATCTCAAAAGCAAGACTAAAGATTGAAATGATAACATATGTCACCCAAAGGCATTTCATGATAAAAAATATTACATTTATTGCTTCCAGTTGGGACAGACAATTTTCTTTTTTTCATCAACTCATTGTGAACCACATTCATGATTAATTACTGGGTCCCACTCACGGGCCAGGCCGAAGGTGCTCACAGGCCCCCATCTTGCTGTTGTTTGTCTATGCCTGGACTAAACAATGCAGTTCTGATGGCACAAGTCCTACTGTTTGTGGATATAATGACTTTCTGCCAACGTGTGAAGCCAAAAGTTTCAAATCTCCTAGCAAAAATGTAAATGAAAAGCACAGCTGTGTTCGTACAGAAAAGAAATATTTCCTCAAGCAGTGTCATTTGTGAGACATTAATTGTACTAAAGCTTTGAGGAGGAGTGATCTGCCGCAAGTTGTCAAAACGCCTTTTTTCATTTTGGCGCCAACATTTTTTAGTTGCTAAATCGAAAATCTTAAATACAATTCTAAAATGTTGCAAAACATTGTCATTTATGGAAGAGCACGAGAGTAGACTCGTTTACTTATACTATATAGAGAGAGACGTACATTGAAGCAGACAGGATTTGAGTACCTGCCAATCGCCCCCCTCCCCCCAATTCTACTGACAAGTGCTCATGACGATTGTGTCTTACCTTGGGAGTATTCACTGCATTCAACGATATCCTGAGGGGAGAACACAGGCGTTTGTGTGTTGTTGGTTTGGATTCGAACTCTTGCCTCAGCCATACCCATGGAACCAAAGGCATAGCAGCTACCACAGCCCCCTGGACAACCACAAAGGAGAGAGAGAAAGAGGGGAGGGAGGTGTAATATATATATAAATAAATATAATACAGTGAAAAATTGGGATTGATAACAACAACATACATTGAAAATATTTTGGCTGGAAAGTAGATGACGATGGTTAAACCTTTACAGTTAATCAATGTTAGGTGGTAATTAGAACACAATGGTCCCACTTTCACAGCTAATTACCTGGCTCGTAATCCACAGAAAGGTGATGCACACAAAAGTGTGGTAATACAAACTTCTCAACAGACAAGATTTTTTGGTCAATTTTTAAGACCACGAATTACAACTGTAATTAATGTCAAACCAAAAGCCTTTTATTCAATCCACTTAAAGACACTTTTTTAAGGTATAAGACTCAAATAACACTCAAATTTTTCATAAATACAGAGTCTCACCAATATAAAATCTGGGCTATAACAACTTCCTAGTGCTGCTAAGTTGCAAAACAGTATTTGTTCTTTTTTTGTTTTTTTGCTTTTACCACAACCACAAAAGATTTGGAAACGAATCAAGTCATCCGACAAAGTGAAAAAGACGCAAAAAGAAAGATTGGACAGACAGATGGAAAATGTTTATCAGCAGGTGTTCGGGAAATCAGAACGATACCTGCCACATTTCACTTGCAGGTATGTCAGAAAAAAGCAACATTTACACACGAAATACAAGGAATTTTTTTAGTAAGAGTTTTACAGCACTTGCAACACAATTACGAAATATGAGTGCCAGAAATTAGAGGTGTTACAAGAGATTAACAAACTAAAAAAGAAGGAGGAGAGGTAAGAACGATAGATATTTAATTGGGAAGAAGGAGAACTCAAAAGCACTCTCAAATCACCCACAGGAATAGAAAAAAGCAGACCACACCACCGATAAACATCAAGAAACTAACCCTGATTTCTGACAGGAGACACATAATTGATACCATCCACATTCCTCCAGTCAAAGTCCTTCGGGAGACTCTGCATGATGGCCTTATGTTCCTCTGTCAGTGGGGCAGGCTTAGGACGACTGTTGGAAAAACACAAAACAAAACAGAGACAACTTAAAAACTCTGTTTGTAAAACATCTTGATTTGCAGCTTTTATAGCTCACTTAATGTTCATACCTGAGCACCTATCAAACACCAGTAGAAAGATCAAAATAAATTAAGCGAGAAATATATGAAGACTAAAAGGAAACATGCTGGGGTAGGAGTGGGGGGTGGGGGGGAGGGAATAAGATCAATTGTAAATGTTTTGAGCAAAGCCATCTCGATATATTTTAGAATATTTAGGAGGCAGGCTTCTTCACCTGACAGACTTTTGCTGTCTTGACTTAGAACAGTTGAACAGGTTGCCGGCGATAATTTGTACCTGCACCTGATATTCCCAATTCCCACTACCCCTTCAGGCACATTCAGACATTCAGAGAACACAATCCAAGTGCATGTGGTCATCACTCCCTTTTTACTTGTTGTCCTATAAAGTTGTTTTAGCTTTAGTCAGAGTTTTACTGCACCTGCAACACAGTTATGTAATATATGTGCCAAAGATTACAGGTGTAACTAGAGAGTAAAAATTACAGTTAGAAAAAAAAGAGGAGAGATAAATTCATTTGTTTATTCGTTTGCTTGAGTAAAGAAAGGCACATCGACTCAATAATGGCCCTTTAGTGCTGGGAAAAAGTAAGACAGACAGAAACCACAGAGGGAAAGAGAAAAAGTAGGACCTACCAGTGGCGCCCTCCAACCATCCTCAGAACCAGGGATGACAGATATTTAATAGGAAAGAAAGAGCAAACCACATCAGAGCACTCGCCAACCACCAAACAAAAAAGTAGAACAGAAGCACATAGACACAAAAACTGACATTTATTTCATCAAAGGACACAATCTTGACACACAGAATACAAATTCTCACCTGTGGACACCGGAACTGTGCCCGCCAGCGAGGTTGATGAAATCTTCCTCAGAGAAGGAGTCAAACTGTGGGTAGTGGGTGGCCTCCCAGGAGTTCTGTATCTTGTTAATGGCCTCTACCATTTCGTTAGAGTTGACCCTGCTCTCAGAAAAATAAACAACTGCATTAATAGTTCAAAACTCAAAAAAGGCTTTACAAATTTTACTTACAGTTTAAAAATTCTC